AACCCTAATAGCTTTTGGATCTAGTTTGTCTAATGAACATGCAATTGAATATCCAAAGCTATAAACCCTGGATCTTGCATAAAATTAATCATATTAACATAAAATAGGGTTTAGATTTAACCTTTGATTGTTATATAGCAGTAACAATCTAATCCTTGACTTCAGAAAGCTTAGTGCCTCAAGTGTCGCACCTCTAATGGAGTTACAAACACCACTAAGCAACTTGGATGAAGAGGGAGGATAGAGGAGGCACCAAAAATGGCTATAAATCCTAAAGGAATACTTAGCCATGTTTTGGGGGCATAGGGGCTCTTTATATACATGTAGGCTATTAGGGTTTACATCTAGGAAACCCTAATCTGACTGCTTAAGCCCTAAGCAACCCATGGACTCTTTTAACATATCCCTTGGACGAATTCCTTATGGGCATACCATAGAATTCTTCCAACCTATATATTATTAGGTGATCCATAGCCCAATTGCAATTATCTTATAATTACAAATCCAGTCCCCTAAGTTCAATTAATCCCTTTTAGCCACAAAATTAATTCTTAATTAATTCTTGACTAATATTAATTAAACAATATGATTTCTCCTTTAATATATTATTCTTATAATATATTAATAAATCATAATTAAACCTCTCTTTCCTTAATTCATCCTACATATTGCTATGGTGAAGGCAACTCAAAAGGACCATGTTCATAACCGGGTCAAGTACATACCAAAATAATTATGGACTTAGACACTAATCCAACACATATTTGTTATGAAATTCAAGCTTAAGAGCTTAAGAGTTTCGGACTAGCATCTACATCAAGTTGAGCCATTGTTGGTGTCTCAAAGGTTCCACATTCTTCATCAACTTCCAAGTCTCTCAAGAGGACCCAAAGAACTACAAAGGTTGTTATTTCTTCATCTCTTGTTTGGTTGGTGTTTAAATCTTTCTATAACTTGTAAGAATATCCTTGGTGGGTATAAAATGTCTATGTTATTTCAAAAATTAAAGTCTTCTGTTGCTATATTTTCCAATTTTATGATACTATTTTTGAACTAAAACCCAACAATTGGTATCAGAGCTATCTTGCTAGTTTTGTTAGATTTTTTGATGTTTGGAAATCTTAGTTTTTTGAGAATATGAATAACATGTTTTTGTATAAAAATAAGTTCATACATATTTTCTATGGCAACTTTAATGTTATTTTATGTGACAAAAGTTTCATGTATCTTTTGTCATTTAAAGTTGTCTTAGAAAAACAAAGGTTGTTTGATGTGTATATTGATGTATATGATGTGCATAAACTAGCCAATGAAGAATGTTTTGTTATGTTGTTGTGTTGGTTATTTTTGTTATAAATTGGTTGCAATAATTTATTTATTCTTATGGTATGTAATAATTAAATAGATGTTTTCTTGTTTATTTTTGTAAAGTAATAAATTAGTTTTTAGAAATAATTTATTTGTATAAAGATGTAACAAGAAATGAAGTTGCAACCATTTTTGAAAACAAAATAGCCATTTTCAATTCTAAAAGGTGTGCAGGATTTTAAGTGATATTTTCTTAAAAGTGTCACTAATGTTGTTCACAAAGGGTTGTTGGCTTTTAGCGACAGTTGCTGAATTTTAGTCTTCAATAAGTTTTTACAATCTTTTGCAAGCAATGATTGTTTACTGAAGTGGGAGCTTCTTCAATAACATTACAAGAACATTTTTGTTCCCGTAAAAGTCCTTTTAGGAATGGATTTGACATTTTTGTGTTGGCTCAATAAAAATTTTAATTACTTGGTTATGTTTATGCACATATCTTTTTGTGCATGTTTCTGTTGTTTATTTTATGCATTATTTTGTGTGGTTGATAAATTAGTTTTTACATGCTAAAATAATTTTTGACAAAATAAACATCACATGGAGTTTGGGTTTCCAAAATTAAACATAAGATGTAACAAGTTATTCTTTTAAAATAAAATCCGTTTTTATAAAATCGTTAATAACAACAAATTTTGAAATACTCCATTATAAGTTTTAAAATAGTGATTTTTATAACTTATACAAACTCCATATATATAAGTAATAAAATGAAGTTTTATTAAAAATATAAAAGGTTCAAATACATTCAAACTTAATACCAGTTATTAAAATTGAATTACGTCAAATTATATAAAAACTAGCTTTTTATATAGAACCTTTACAAAATAATATTTTATAGAAAACTGATACCATAGTTTATTATATGCATGAAATAACTCTGATATCATATCTTTTTTATACTAGAATTATAAAACATATAATGTAACGCACGTGTTTCTGGGCTAAGCATTAAAGATGATGTAACAGTCTAGGTCAACCTTTGTAACTCGCTTTGAACTAATAAAAATATATTATTTGAGTATTGTGTGCTTTATACTTAATTATAATAAATTAAGGATAAAAATAAAACATTAGATAAAGCCGATATCTATGAAGAAAGTTGTAGTGGTCATAACAAGGATTCCAGAAATATAAAGAATACTGAAATCTGAGTTATAACGAAGAAGTTATTACCTGTCGAAGTTTCACGACAAAACTGGCACGACACCGGGAATCGTAAAAGTGAGTTTACGATAGTGTATTTTTTTAACCTTAGGATTCTAAATTAAAGTAGTAGAGTACGTCTCCACCTTCACGTGGATATAAATAACGTCAAAAACGGAACTTGTATGCAAAAGTTATGGTCTTCCGAAGATGTAGTTGTCTAAGAGCATGACACCTGTCAGAAAACCCTAATCTGAATGGGCTCACGACGTGAGGAGTTAAAATGCCACATTTCGAAGATAGAAAACTCATGGCAAGTCTATGGAGTGATAAGTCAAAAGCTCGCGACGTTAGCAAGGATTTCTCACGACATGAGGAGTCAAAGGGACACCATCTGAAGCTAGGAACACATGGCGGATCTACGAAGTGAGCAGGATCGAGCTCAAAACGTAAGCATGCTTGGCTCACGACATGAGAGACCAAAAATCACCCTATAAATAGCATGCGAGGCTACCTGGTTATGATTGCAAAATTCACTCCATCATTCACTCTTTAAACACTCGCAAGCCACTCTAAACCCCCCGAATCCTAGGGAACATACCTAGCACTAGAAGAAAGCACCAGGGATCCCGAAGTCTCCAAGAAAAAGAGTTTTTCAAGTTAAAACTTTGCCCGCGCAGAGCCCGGTTTTTTAGCAAACCTCCCGGTTTCATCGAAAAAGATTATTTTAAGGAACGAAGTGTCTATGAAATACGTGTTATGTGTATATATATTGTTTGTTTATTTGGGATGGGTGTTGAATGAATGTTTTATACAGGTTTTAAACTGTACATGTATTTTTATCTGCAAATATGTTGGTTAAAACATGGGTAGATGAAATAGTTGATGTGTGATAAAATGATGAGAGGCCTCAATGTTGTTGTTGTTCCAGTCATCTAGCAGAGTACAGATGACGACCACAGACCTTTCTAGACAGTCCACTGGAACGCTAGCAGACTCGTAACATGTAGGTGTTTGTGAACGGTGTGTTTACTGGTGTGCTCCATCCCCCCATGGTTGCCTTACGGATATATATATATATATATATATATATATATATATATATATATATATATATATATATATATGGCTGAGGAATCCCCTTAGCAGTAAAGTCCATCCTGATGTTAATCCTTAGGCTAGGTCCCTTATGATAAGTGTTTAAGGACGTAAAGTGAGGATCACAAGAACGAGTAATCAGAGTTATTGTTGATTGATGAGATTAATAAATTTATTGTTGGTTGATGAAATTAATAAATTTATTATTTGTGGGTTGAAAACCTTATATGTTCACCACGCTCTCAAGACTGACCCACTCAGCTTTCTGTATTACTGGTAGTGAAACCAGAGCATAGTTGGATGATGACGATGATTTTTGGATAATAAGTCAGTAGATGTAAATAAATGTTGTAAGACCTATATTGTACAGTTTATACTTTTAGTCTGTATCGATGTGTACATTTTGAGTTTTGTAATGAAATGAAAAATATATTTCTTCAAGAAATGTTTCGATAAATTTTTATCATATTTTGTTTTGGGGACAAATTCTGCAACACTTTTTGAAAGATTACTCTTATTTTATTTTAAAAGCATAAACGAAATCAGTTTTTTCTAGCTATGAAAATGGGGATGTCACAAAATCAGTTTAAGCATTTAATGCAGTTTTATTAATAATCAACTTTTGATGTTTTAATGGTTGATATCCAGTTTTGGTTCAGTAATTTTCTTTCCAACAACGTGGGCGGCAGGCCGGCAGTATAGTTGAGAAGACGTATGTGTCGTTAGAAAAGATGAGTCGGAGGTGATGAGTGGGGCCCATTTAATATTTATAAATATATAAACAAAAAAATAATTTATAAACAATTTAGATAAGGATAAAAAATTGGAAAATAGCATATTAGTATTTTTAAAATAAACAGGGACAACGCGTGCAACAAAAATAAAAAATAAAACGGTCCGACTTTAAAAATAATAATAATAATAATAATAAAAATCTACCAGGGACCAAATATGTAGATTACTCTAAATCCCAGAGGACCATTCCGTGTTATTTACCCTACATTATATCTAACAAAATTGTAACGAAATTGAAATTTGAATCTGTATTCGTGTCGTATTTATGTCAAGTGTATAAAAAATAAAAAAATAAAAAATAAAAAAAAATAAAAAAAAAAGGTCGGGTTGTGTTCAAGATTCTGCACAGAATTGACACGATATTAACATTATTTTTCGAATTTTACATGTTTTGTAAGATTAATTTTGAATTAAATAAACTAAATATTTATTCTATTTTATTTTTTTCGTGTTTATCGTTTTTATCATGTTTTAATGGGATTGTTTTCGTGCTAGTAAAACAAAAGTACAAAACACGAAAATCATGTTGTGTCGTGTTCGTGTTATATAAAAATTGTTTTGTCTTGTGTGTCTTTTAAAAACATAACACGACTTTCCTGTTTAACACTCCAATATCTGTGATACTTACAAGCATAATTATTTATGTAATTTTGACTTTTCATCATGAAATATAAAACTTAAGATGCTGCCAAAAATTCAAGGAGAAAACTTCCTTCGACTCTATCCACACACACCACCAACTTGGTGGCTATAAATATGCAGCCCACAAAATTTGAATCTCAATTAATTTACTTTTGATTCACTCTTCCACCGCACCACCACCCACAGGTGTCCCGGCTCAACTCATGAACTCCACCGGTCAATGGTCCACTGGACTCTGTGATTGCACCTCGGATTATTCCAACTGTAAGCCTACAAATTAACTATATTAGTCATTCTGGTATACTTTATATAGGGATAAATCAAAATATGTTACACATGATTATTTTTTTAAAGATTTGTTCAATTTGTTTTTGGAAACCACAGGTTGTTTGACGTGTTGGTGTCCATGCATAACGTTTGGACAAATTGCGGAGATTGTCGACAAGGGTACCACTTGTAAGTGTTTATGCTTCGACTTTGACCAATCATAAGATTATATATGCAGATTAATCATTCAAACATTCCTACTTAGTTTGTTGTAAACAAATTAACATCGCTCTTGTAGAAAAAGGTATAGAAAAAAAAAAAAGACATGATGATTTGCAAGCAAACGTTTTAAATTAATCACTTGTTTTTGTAAAGTATATGGATTTTGGTAATTTCATTAAAAAAACAATAATTAATTTGGTAAGTCAAGAAATGGACAACTCTACAATTTATAACAAATTTAAAAGTTGGCAGTGATGTATATATTTGACCTAGTTATATCATGTGTATAATTATTATTTTGTGTGTGTAAACAGCCTGCGGTGTACACGGGACCCTTTATTCAATACTTTGTCTATTTACAGGATGTGAATGCATATATTCTTTTATGTATCGTTCTAAATTAAGGCACCAGTACATGTTGCCTGATGAACCCTGCAACGATTGCCTTGTCCATTGTTGTTGTGAGTGTTGTGCTCTTTGCCAAGAGTATCGTGAGCTGAAGCATCGTGGGTTTGACCCATCTCTTGGTAATAAAGTTGTTTCAATCTCATTTATAAAATAAATAAATAAATAAAATTAATTAATTGTGTATTTGTTATATAAAAAATGATCTAATTAAGATTAATTTTCTTATATGTATATGCAGGATGGCATGGAAATTTGTCGAAGCAGAATCAGGGAGTCGGGATGCCGCCAGTTGGTCCCGGAGAAATGAAACGGTAGTTCTTAATACATTTGAAACGTGAAGTGTTTACTCTATTTAAAAATATCATGAATATTTGTAATTCAATATCGATTAATGTTTGTCGTATACAAATAAATGAAAAAATAAGAAGGCCCATAACATGTGGACCACAGGTCACAACTCACAACTTGTGCTTGAGTTCTTGATTAAAGTTTGTGAGCCTTTTGTAATAATATAAATTAGGATGTTGCCCAGTCGTTGTAAAAACATAAATTCGTTATATTTTGATATTGTGTTGATAAAAGTTAGTACTTAAGTACATCTGTATCTGTTAGTATCATTGATTAACTCCAATAAATACTGTCGAATAAAAACATATTATATGTAATAAAATTCATACGTATATAGAAAAAAACACGAAAATATAAAGAAACTTGAATTTATACTAATATATTAAGCAAGTAACATTTTTTTGAAGTTAACTAGAAAGGTTTCCCGCGGGACATAAAGTCAACGTTAATCATCCAAGGGCAAATTGCACTGGTATCTGTTTGTTATTCAAATTTGACACATTTTTAATGTTACACATAACAGTATAAAACAAAACATTTCGGAAATTGGTGTAACAGAATGGAGATGATGTTGCAATTACCACATAAGAGAGAACCCTAATTCCATATCCTATCAACAGTCTTCTTACATCCAGCAACCAAGAAAACTGTTAAGAGTAATTACAAAAGTGATTAGATGAATGAGTACACAGCAATGCAACATAAAAGAAAAGAAAAACTGAAAAGGAAAGGAATTGCCTTGGAATATAGAATTGCTAACCACCCCAACAAACAAAACATTTTAGAAAAGGCTCATGGTCTGCATAGCAGATCAAATTAAGCTAATTGAATGGAACTGTGGACCTGTGAATTGAGATATTCCCATTCGTAGGTTCAATATAAGAAGCATAACGATTTGATACAATCTCTGAAACTTCTTTTTGAAGCATAACGATACATTATAATGAAATATCTAAATCCTACAATAAAAAAATGTTAGTAAACTGAAATTTTTTAATAGAATCAATTATAAATAATGGTAAAAAGTACTACCATCGTTAATTTTTAGCCTTTCTACTCTTTCTCAACATACTTTCACAAAGCCTGCAAAATACAATAATTAGTCAAATGTCTAAAACACCCTTCAGAAAGAATAATTATTTACCCATTAAAATAATTGAGAAGATTAATAAGATAATTTATCTTTTAAAGAAAATGACTTTAGAAAATAAATAAATTATACCAAAATTAAGCATTATATTTGGTTTGTCGCTTAATTTAAACCTAAATTGTTAAAAAAAAAAAAATGAGAAACATAACTAGATTTAATCAAATGTCGAACCCTTTCATCTTTTTAAACAAAGGGTTATCATATACAGCAAATATATAAAAACGGATAAATATAATTCATAAAACTAAAAAAAAAATGTTAGCTTACACAGGTTGTTTTTTGTTACAGGTTAAAGATATATTAAATTTTGGGTTTCATCAAAAGTTTGATGTCAAGTCCTACAATTAAACAGCAACACATTACCCATCAGTTTCTTCATATGTGTTTTTAATTACCTAATACAAAGTTAATGGTTGGAGTTCTTGATTTTGGATCATTGGTTCAACTAAAATATAAATAATTAAAAACTTTTATGTTGAATTATTTACATATAGAAGACATTTAATCTAATTGTACATAGTGACTAACATACCAGCTTCAGGAATGTTGTGTTGAATGCTTCAAAAAAACTCAATCCATATGCAATCTTTGTCAATAGCAACACAACTCACTTGAGAATAAAAAAAATACAACAATTTGCAGAAGAAAATCATATGTAATCAAATACAATCTTGTGAATGTTTACAGGTGATGATTATAAATCCCTATATAACAGATAAACAACAGCAAAATGGAAGCATCCTCATAACTAATCAAAGAAATAAAGTGTCGTTTGTATGTACCTACCTGATTAAGCATAGATGGTTTGGCTGTTGAAAAAAAAAGTTGACAGTTAGTCGGCTCAACATTTTTGGGTAAAAAATGCACAGCTTGGCTTTACGTATGGTGTATGATCATCACCTGCAACATTCAGTGCATATGAAACATCAAATTAAATCTCAACAGCACAAAGTAAAACCAATAGTAAAGATAAACACAGTATTCCCAAATACCTTGTAATCAAGAACATCTAAATCAATTTTTCTGACCAAAATACTAAAAAAAACAGATTTCAGAATAATCACAATTTAACCAACAGCTTTCCGTCGGACCATAGCAGCCTATTATTATCAAATATTGCCTAAAATACCCCTTAAGCAGCTTCAGTAATAATCGATCCTTTTTAATAATTAACCAAATGTTCCGAAAATACCTCTTCTTGTTTGGCCCATGAGGATACTTTTACTGTACGTGCTCTTCTTGCTTGGTCCTTTGTCTTCCAATGACAGACCAACTTCTCCTTATCATAATATGGCATGAAATTAATTCCTATTGGCAAAAAAAGAAAGCAAATGGTGCTTAGTAACAGAAGAAGTCATTTTGGTGGCTGATATGTCTGATGATAGAAGATAGAATGGCAAGGAGAAGACTAAAACCAAAACTCAAAAGTCAAAATTAATTAAAGAAAATCACCTGCAAGAGTGGTGCTTCAATGGCAGTGGAGAAGCTAAGATTCTGATAACCCAACCAAGCAAAAACCGAATTCAAAAATTAAAAACAATAAACCTGGAAGAGGAATGATTCAGATGAAGGTCTCACACAAATAAAAATGAATCAAGTCCTCCCCACCCAACTGTTTATCTCTAACTTTGCTCGAATCCACTCAAACGCATACAAATTCATCATCACTACCTCTTCATAGTTCATACCCACCAAAAAACTGCATAAACGGGTTTTTAAAACAAAGAGCATAAATGAAAATGGAACAAGGGAAAAGGTTTGATATTTGAGATGCTCCGAAGGAGTGTTCATTTCTATGAAGATTCATTTGCTTCGATGAACAATGTTTGACTAAAAAAAGTCAAAATTGGACTTCGATTTCAAGAGGGCAACCACTGTTAAAAACCATCTTCTGAAATTGAACTGAGTGGAGTTGTTTACACGAAGAAAATTTGTAAAAGAGGCTCAAATCTACAAGTTTGGAACCGGAGAAAGGAGATCAAACACCGCCATGGCTGCAACACCATTTGTGTTGCCCCGCCAAGTTACGGGTTGTATTTCACCCTTCGCCGGAAGCCGATGCTCGGAGAAGTTAAATGTAGAACAATATCATCACATCCTCGACATGGATATCAATGGAAATGAGTAGCAGAAGAACAGGGAATAAACGGGGATGGAGGAATCAAGAGTGAAGCGGAGAAACGAAAGCAGATGACAACCATAAGTGAAAGAGAGAGAAAAAGAAAGAAAGATCCACAATTGAAAAGCAAAAGAACAGGAAGAAGGCACGTAAGCAAAAGAACGGGAAGAACGCACGTGGAATCCGGTAACATTTGACACGAAATTAGAACCCCATTAAAAAAACATTAAATATCCTTATCTTTAGCAATGACAAAGAAGAAAAAGAAGCTAACGAATGCAGTAAAAAAAGACCCAAATTTTATTAAAGTGGCAAATAACTGAAAATATAGGGACCCATATGGAATGTAAGTACATGGACGAAATTCGCCAAACATGATCCAGAATACTATTCCCATTTGACAGAAATTAACATTAAGGGACCAAACTGTAATTGAGATAATAAACAGGGAGCAGTTCTGCCAACTCCTAGGGCAGTATAATGTTCCTTTTAAACAAAATTTTAATATATATATATATATATATATATATATATATATATATATATATATATATATATATTATATGTGACCCGGTTGATAAGAATTATAAATAAAAATAAGCACGAAAACGTCAAAAAAATTACGTCGAAACGTAGACAAACTCAGATTTATACCGACACATCCATAGAAAAAACAAGTAAATTAAACACCAAAGTTTAGAAAATGAAAGAGTGAATAATTATTCCTAGTATGATGTTAGAAGCATCTTGAGCATCACGGTGATGCCTTTACTATGTAACATATTTAGGTCTATTACTCAAAGTAATTTCTTTAGGATTAGGACCTTTAAGTGTATACAATTTCACATCTCTCACGAGATTGTCTCCTAAGACATGAACTCACTCATTGAAGTTGTACCTATTAAATGATATTGTTTCAATAAGTCATTTAAAGAGAAATGAGAATTCATGGTTTTGAGAGTGGATTATATATCTAAAAAACCTTAACAAAATTCATTTAGTATTTTTAATATTTAATCTTTAATAATTAATACGCCTTTTAGTTTCTAAAAAAACATTAATTATCAAACTCTAAGATCCAAGTTGCAAAACAAATAAATGGTTAGGTATCATATATCTCATTCATCCGAATTCAACGCGGTAGATATCGATTATCAATTATATCTTACCATATAATTCCTAGATTTATGGAATTGCTAATAATAAATTTAATTAAGCATGTTTGATCACATCTATGCATTAGAACTCTCTTGCTTATGTATCATTTATCACAAGAGATTTCCGATCAAATCATCCAATTTGAAAAACTTGTGTAATCGGCCTACTTGGTTATAGAAATCGCGAAAACACATCGGGCATCAAAAGATAACATTAAGGTGTTAGGTATCATGTGACAACCGTCAAATTTCGGTCAAGTCAAAGTCAACTAAAGTCAGCAAGTCAAACCGTTTGACTCAATTTGCCCATGAGTACTAAAATTCACACTATGAAACTTCTACATAACTTCTATTCTAATGAGAAATCATAAAACAAAAAGTGCGAACATCTAGATCTCCTTAACCTAAAACTGTAGTACGTGGCGAGCCAAACCGATAAAACAATGATGCATACTCATCGGGAGTGTGTAAGATCCTTAAACAAGGCTTAACAGGGTTTACGAACCATGCATTGCGATGCCGGTCACTCACAATTGTCACACATGGATCCTCTCTCAATCGTTTTCACTCTATCTCTCTCTATGTCAAATCTCTCCCAAATCTCTCCAAGTATGTGAAATCTCTCTCAAATATCTCTCTGTATTAGAAATATCTCCAAGAATGTCGAATCTCTCCCAAATCCCTCTAAGTATGTGAAATCTCTCTCAAATATGTCTCTGTATGAGAAATCTCTCCAAGAATGTCAAATCTCTCCCAAATCTCTCCAAGTATGTGAAATCTCTCTCAAATATCTCTCTGTGTGAGAAATCTCTCCAAGAATGTCAAATCTCTCCCAAATCTCTCCAAGTATGTGAAAACTCTCGCAAATATCTCTGTGTATGAGAAATCTCTCCAAGAATGTCAAATCTCTCCCAAATCTCTCCAAGTATGAGAAATCTCTCCCAAATCTCCCTCAAATAGTTCCCGTAACTTTTTAGAATCATTCGGGTCATTCCGGCCCTTAACCGGGGCGAAAACACGAAAAACGGATCTTAGGAACCGAAACCCC